TATTGCAGTATACTAAACTTTTGCAACCAAATAGTCCCGTTAATCTTACGATCGGATTATGGGCATTGGAGTTGCGCAGCATGCTCTACTTAGCGTGAGCTCTGGTCCCAGAAGTCCATCCAAACGAAAGGCTCGGACTAAATCTTTAGACATTAAATACAAATTTAGGGAGCAGCAGTGTGTCTTATTGACACGCGTATAGAATCGGGGTGAAATTCTTAACCTGAAAATACGGTTGAGAAATGCTTAGACTGACCATGCCAAAATGACATTATGCTTCCAATGACGACGCCGTCAAGCTGAGTGCGGGGAGCTTGACTTGGCTGAAGCCCTGCTTACAGAGCAAGCTGAGCGCGGGGAGCTTGACTTGGCTGAAGCCCTGCTTACAGAGCGAGCTGAGCGCGGGGAGCTTGACTCGGCTGAAGCCCTGCTTACAGAACGAGCTGAGCGCGGGGAGCTTGACTTGGCTGAAGCCCTGCTTACAGAGCAAGCTGAGCGCGGGGAGCCTGACTTGGCTGAAGCCCCGCTTACAGAGCAAGCTGAGCGCGGGGAGCCTGACTTGGCTGAAGCCCTGCTTACAGAGCGAGCTGAGCGCGGGGAGCCTGACTTGGCTGAAGCCCCGCTTACAGAGCAAGCTGAGCGCGGGGAGCCTGACTTGGCTGAAGCCCTGCTTACAGAGTAAGCTGAGTGCGGGGGGCTTGACTTGGCTGAAGCCCCGCTTACAGAGCAAGCTGAGCACGGGGGGCTTGACTCGGCTGAAGCCCCGCCTACAGAGTAGGTATGCTGCCGCCTGCTGAATGAAGCGTTAAACGGAATCTGCCCGGAGTCTCTCCCCGAGATTTCTTGAAGTGTCACGAGCCATGTGTTCTTATCCTCGAAGCCGATATCACCCAGCAGGACACACTGATGCATTCTTCTCTTGAAATCCCTGGACAGACTGCCTTGCTTCGAGGCAAAAGTCACGCGAACGGCCGGAGCGCAGAATGAGAGTTTGTTGTACGTGAAGCATGCCGCTCTTACGAGTAATTGGCACGAATTCAGGTTTCTAATGCTGACTTAACGACCTTCAGTATAGCAGGAGGCACTGGTTAAAGCACACTATAGTGCAAGCATTGGTTACATTGACAATAATCGACGTTTCAAGTTGGGTTTACGCTCATAAGTGGCATTGTTTTACTTAACCTTGCGCAACCAAACGTCGAGTGCTCTCAATATAGTCAATATTTGCGATGTAATATCGTTAAAAAGCATTTCCTGGCACAATGAATGCGTCATTATCTCAGCATAAGAACTGTGAACTCATTATGCGGACAAACTAGGAGCTGAAGACCTTTGTTTCTTGCACCATGTGTATTTGCTGTGCAGCCTTGCCTTCGAGAATGTCTCATACCACACAGGACCGGTAAAAATGCCAGGACGGAAGTTTCTATTCTAACCTCTGCCCGAGGCCAAAGGTCGAGGACGGAACACTGCGACCATGGTGACCTAAGTGTGGTATGCTTTTTACCAAATGCTGCTGTGTGAAGTAACATAGGTATGAACTTGAAGTTCTTCTTCCCCCTATGCTTGAGGTATGACCTTGAGAGGATGACCGCGAGAAAACAACTAAAAAGCTTATTTAGTCTACCCCTGGTAAGGAGCCGTCGTCTGCAACTAACGGCGTTGTCAACATCGAAACCGTTCAAAAAGGCATCATCTACTTACCACATATGGTATTTATCACCAAACAATACCAGGTGGTTCAACGAATCCGCAGATACGGCTACTGGTCAAGACCGACCCGAAAATTTTCGTATAATCCAATCGTATTTTTGCCCGAATATTTGTTTGCGCGCAAACTGTTGAAACATTTCGGCCCGAGATAAACAGTGTTCGCCGGCCCCCCCCCCCAAAAAAAAACAACACTGAGGCAAAATAATACGCCATACGCACGATCAGGTACAAAGGGGCTACCCAACATTTGGTAAGTGGCATTTCCCTGTTCTCGCATACACCGGTCATCACGCGAGTGCATTTGATGGTGTGGGCATCACCCCACCATGCCGTGCAACGGCTTTGAGAGCTCGATGGGCAGCTCCTGGGTTGGCATTTTGGCAGAAGCTCGCATTGCCATTGCCAGCTCGCAACCCGCAGCTCGGAAAACCCGTGTGCCATTGCGGCCTTCACATTACCATTTTTGTGATATTCTTTTGTTATGAACAGCGTACTTATGCGCGATTTGAATTATTTTCACTGAACCTTATTGATTGATAGTGGGACGCTCAGGAAAGGTCCCTAGCCAAGGCATGCTTGTGGTGGGCTAATAGCCGCTGCCAAGCAGCGGACAGCCGGCTGACACATGACCAGAGGAAGTCATGCGATGGGTCAGACCCGGGCCGCTCCAGGTCGGGTCACCTGGTCTGCGGCCAGAGGAGGGTGGCTCAGACTCGAGCCACTCAAGGTCGGGTCACCTGGTCTGTCTCCAGAGGAGGGTGGCTCAGACCCGGACCACTTCAGGTCGGTACACCTGGTCTGTGATCAGAGAAGGCTTACTTAGGCCCGGGCCACTCCAGGCCGGGACACCTGGTCTGTGACCAATGGAGGTGGCTCTGACTCGGGTCGATTCAGGGTGGGTCACCTGGATGGGGCCGGATCCTGTGACACCACGAGACCCGTCTACACCGCGAGCAGGCGGCACGTGGTGACGTGACTTGTGATATGGAGCCTGTCGTGCCACGATTTTTGCGGAAAGTGTTTTTGCAGAACAAACTAGCTGTAACGTTGAAAAATGTTTGATGACTTTGCTATCCCTTCTCGTGTTTCACCAGCATTCTTTAAAGTATGATGTTGCGATGAAGGAGCGAAAATGGGTATGTCTGTAGTTAGGAATGTCACTTTCTAAAAAAGGGCTGAGTTTGTTTTCACAAAGTTGACATTCCTGACTCACAAGTCCTGATTTCCACAGAACTCTGGCCGTTTTAAATTTGCGTCTGTTTCAAAGTTTGTTTTTAAAATTTGATCGGTTACAAAATTGATTTGACGTAGCAATGAACAACTTCCCATTTGAAGCCGATGTTACAGTGGTGATAATGACGATATCTGACGGTGACATTGACAATGATGTGCTTAGATACCTAGTGTGACGGCGCGACACTTGCTGTATTTCATTTCCCCAGTTTTTTTGCCCATATGCATTGCAGGGGGGGGGGGGCTCAGAAGAGCATTGAGGGGCGCAAATTATCATTGGGAGGCAGTTCCTCCAAGGTATGCAAAGTGACCCCCTTGTCTGCTGTTTTATATTTTCCTGCCATAAACACTGATCTCTACTGTTCTGTATTGACTGACCTTTTCCCGGTGTCGCACGCCGGCCAAGCTAGGCCTGGCGTCGGCTTTTCCTGCACAGCTGCTATAAAACACAAGCGCGCTCAGAGGGAAGGCGGTGGGGGGGGGGGGGGGGGGGAGGCGGAACTGGGGCGCGACAGCGTGGGGCGTGCAGAGCAGACAAACTACTTGCATTCGTGAGTATTAGTAAGGCATCACTCTTCCAAGCGCGGTCTTCCTTCAAGCACGGTTAGCATCTACAGCAGGCGATAATTCTTCCATATCCTTCTAAAATTGTGGCATGGCAACGCCCGCGCCGACCTTGCATAGAAGCAGGCGCCAGGTGACAGGACTGGGACGTCGATGCGAACGGAACAAAGTTTTCCTGCTGTCGCGTACCCACATTTGGCCGGGCCGCCATCACCGCCAGCAATCGCGTTCCAAGAACGCTCCATCCAGTGAAAGGAGTCGTGAACAGCCTTCGATGGAGAAAGGGCAAGCCTATACTCGCGGTTTGCATCGATATGCTCGACCCACTGCTGCCATGCTGGAGGAATGGGTACGGAATGTGGTACGGCAAATGTGGTAACGGCCACAGCAACTCTCACCGAAGTAAGTAAGCCTACACCTTAAC